TTATTTAAGATAAAACTTGTTTTTATTTAACTCATGCAAAACAATTTTTATTTAATTGAGAAAAAATAGAGAAACACATATCATATCTTAAACTTATTTGTTATTATATCACGTCAGAATAAATCAAAACTTTATTTTAACCTTGTTTCGTTTCGATTAAAACTGATTAATTAATGAAATTGAATATCCGATGAGAGATAATTTATTTCTTTTATAATTATATCAATACCGATCAATGATCTTTGAAGAAAAAGAGTTTTTTTTTCTTGTTTTTAGATTGTCAAAGTATTTAAATTCTGATAAAACAACAACAACAACTGTGATCATGAGTAATCGAGTTGGACCTGATGAAGTAATGTATTAAAAAACAAAAAAATAATCTTATTTTATTTTTGAATATTTTAGTCCGTAGAAGTTAACTCTAATACAACACGTTTACGAAGATTGTATGTATATATTATGGATTAAAATCAATTATCAAAAGATTTTCTTATTTTAGATATGCACAGTTTCAAACGCAAAAATTACTTTGGATAGTATTTCTTGTTATTTGTATTGATGTAGTTATATCTGTTGTAACAATTACTGTTTTAATGAACAAAACTGAAAGAGAAAAAATATCAATAATGAACATAACAACACCAACATCAACATCATCATCAATACCATCATCAACAACAACGTCATCATCATCAACAACAACAACAACAAGTGGTATGATTTTCTTAAAACTAGTTCGTTTCCTATTTTCAAAGAATTTTTAAAAGAGAAATTAGATTTTCTTTTTCAATCTTAGATATTTTATTCGAATAATCACATAGAATAGTTTAATCTTCGATAATCAGCAGTCATACATCATACTTCTATAGAAGAATATCGAAAGATTCATTAAAAGTTGAATGAGAATGTATTATCGAATTCATAGTTCATCTGTCTATACTCACACCTACATTCTTGTAATTTATATGTAGTGATATCAAAATATTGTGTGTAGTAAAACAAAATGTTTTATTTTTAAGAAATAATTCTTGGATCGAAAGAAAAGAAAATAAATTAAGTTTTTTTGAAATATGTTATAGAACAATTAATTCCCTCTGGTATCATTAATAAAAATACGAAATGGAAAAAGAATGCAATTACTGTTGCTGGAGGACACGAAGCGGGAAGTGAATTAAATCAATTAAATGAGCCTTGGGGCATTCATGTTGATAATGATGACCATAGTATTTATATTGCTGACAGAAACAACCATCGTATAGTTAGGTGGGAATTTGGTGCAAAGAATGGTACACTTGTTGCAGGTGGAAATGGACCGGGAAATGAAATGGATCAGTTAACGCAACCCACAGACGTAGTTCTTGATAAAGAGAAGAAATATCTCATCATTTGTGACTATAAAAATAGACGAGTGATGAAATGGTCTCTTCAAAATAGTCAGGATTGTCAAGTATTGATACCCAGTATTTATTGCTTCGGTTTAGCAATGGATAGTAATGGAGATCTTTATATTTCTGACTGGACAGAAGGAAAAGTCACACGTTGGCAGCAAGGATATAACGAAGGTATACTTGTAGCAGGTGGAAATGGAGAAGGAAATCAATTAAATCAACTCAATGAACCTAAGTATATCTTCGTCGATAAAGATCATTCACTTTATATAGTAGATGATATGAATAATCGTGTGATGAAATGGAACAAAAATGCAAACGAAGGCAGTCTTGTTGCACCAGGACAAGTTTCTAATGAAAATCTTGATACGATGGTGCGTTCCAAAGGTGTGATTGTTGATCATGAAGGTAATATTTATGTGTCAAGTGATGGTAGTCATCAAATAACGCGTTGGTCGCCAGGTGCAATAGAAGGGACGCCTGTCATTGGTGAAAAACAATCTGGAAGCGAACCCACGCAGCTTCAGGACCCTCACGATTTGTCGTTGGATCAACAGGGTAATCTTTATGTTGTCGATAGAAACAACCATCGAATACAAAAATTTGCTATTGATCGTGACTGAAACAAATTTTTTGATGATAAAATGACTTTTAATAAATAATTCTTTTTTTTTCTAACTTGTAAAGTTTTTTCTTCATGAACAATCAATAAAGTTCATTAAAAACATGGTTAAGAATTTATTTTATCATTTATCTTGTAGACACAGCCGTTTCGGATTCCTTTTTTATTGTCTATAATTCTTTTGCCAATCGACACAACACAATATTTCAATAAAAGGTTTTGAGTACAATTTTTATTTCTATGTGGTAAAAACGAGTGAAACTATTGAGTTGAAAACGCATGCTAATATTGATTTCTTCTTTGAATTTATTGTATCAAGATCCACATTTATTTTCAAAACCTTTCAAAGCATACATTAGTTTATCTGTATAAAAACTATATTACAATTTCGACTGACAAAATCTTAAAGTTTTCATGTTATTCATGTAGTTTTTATTAAAAATACTATATTCGAGTAGCTGCCTAATTCGAGTTCGAATATAAACGAATATTAAAAAAAAAGAAATAATTAATACCTATTTCTAGGAATAGATTTAGTTTTAGAATAATTTCCAAATAAATCTTCCTCACCCACTGTGCTACCTTCTTTCACTCATCCCTTGATCGTATATATGAATCATATACATCTTAGAGTAAAACTAAAACTGAATCTATTCCTAAATCTCACCATTTAGTTTCGAATGAGTATTGTACAGTTGTATGTCCATTTATATTCAAATTCGAATTAGGCAGCTCATCGACGAGATCGAAAAAAAGGTGTTCACCGTTCATAATAAAGAGATGCATTTCCAACAAAAATCGCTCCATCGGACTTGAGACCGTTCATAAAACAAAGGATTTCACTATGAGAAATTTTACTGTATATTGGTTTTCGATCATTCATTGAGGTTATACTGTATATCTTTTTTGGCTACTTGAGTTGCTATGTGAAATATGCATTCAATTAAGAATGACTGGAAGATAATGAAAATATTGATCAAGTGAAATAAATACGTTAATCTGTGTTTTATCAAACGATAAAAATAATGCTATTCTCGATTTGTACTGTTGATATTTATATATTCGTTCTTCAGAAAGAAATTCCTTAACAACTATATATATTCAATGACTTTATTTTATTTCCGAACAACTACTGCAAGAAAAAAATGTACAACAAAACTGATACAATATTTACACTCTAATCAATACACGATTTTTACAAGAAAATTGTTTATAACTACTCTAAGATAACACGCAGTCAAGTTCTATTGAACAAACAACGAGATAATGTTCGTTCATTGAGACGTGTCAGAAAGTACACTCTTTTATACCACCGGGAAAATCGGGAGGAAACATTGGTTCACCACCCGTTTGGACGATGCCGGTCGGCAAATTAACAATTGTTTTTGGTTGTCCTGCTGATCCTCTATAATATTCGTAGGTCAAATGTTTGACTTCGCCAGTGTCTGGAAAAACCAATGTCATTGAATTTGTTAAATCAGGTTCGATACCAGGATGTGGATGTTGATTATTCATAGCTGTCGAAGATGATTCTATAAACATTCAAAAATTAATAAAGTAAACACAAATAAATATTTATCAATGAAAATGACAGAAAAAAAGTAGACTTTCTTCTTTCTAAGATTATTCGAAGCGTTCTTAATAAGGATAATCAGCCACGCAGATCTATATGTCTCTCCACAGGATCAGTTTATTTCCTTTTCAATCTGACTATTATTTTGCACTTTTGAGATATGGAACAGTTATGTCTCAATCAATAAATGATCGTTACTGTTCAATTTCTTTTTCTTTCTTGTTGACCTTGAAGATGGGTATTTTTCTTTTTCTTTTCAGATGCATATATATATAATCCTTTTTTCCCAAAATGATATCAATACAACTGGACGGATAAAATAGATTGATAAATATCATTAGGCCCCAAACAGACAGAGAAATGAATTAACGTTAAATTTGAATTAAATGATATAATTGACACATTATCGTGATAAATCGTCTTAAAGATGATTTATCTCATAACACGTCATCGTATTGGTTAATTCAGTTTGAACGTTAATTCATTTTTTCATTCTGTTTGGGGCCTTATCGACGATGCCGATAGAGCTACTCGTCCAATTCGTTTTAACACGCATATAGATATGACCGTTCATTGACAGAAAAGGAACAACAGCTGGCAATATTCATCAAACGTGGTGAATAAATAGAGAACATTACATCTATCAAATCTAATGAAATTAAGAATGGTTTTTTGCGACACTCAAAATTTTCTTTTTTGTTAGTTACTTATTATGTTTCGATTTGCAACTTGTTAATATCATTTTTTTTCATTGATTTTTATTTATTCGATTGATGATGAAAAGCAATGCATGCACCACACAGAATACAGGCATATGTCAAAATCATGATAATCTAACTGAGTAAAATGAAAGAATTATGGAAATATGCTATTATACTATGAACAATGAGATGTCCACTTGATCTAGCATGATTGTCACAAGTATTTCTTGATATTTCATGTGTGAAAGTTGTAGGGATATTGAAAATAATCGATGATTAAATTAAATTATATCGCGACTGTGGTAAAAATTTTTTTTTTTTCTTTTAGAAGTAATGTTCATAAAAATGAACATCTGGATAAATTTTCCAAAAGAACTGCCTCGTGTTAAATGTGTGAGAGACAATATATTTCTAACAATAAATATTCTATTCTTTTTAATCCTTCTCAATGTATCTCGTGCAATATTTTACGTCGTTCTCTGAGTTTCTCTTTTTTTTGCTGTTGCAAATAATTTTTATTCAAGAAAGGTTTTTTACATTAATACAAAATCACAACTCACATCTGTCAAGATTTTATCCAAAACTAACTTTGCAAAAAAAAGGGAAATAAATTAATCTTTCTATTGATATAGGATTTTTTGTTGTTGCAAATGTTATAATATTTTGAACTGATTATTTAAGATGAAACTTGTTTTTATTTAACTCACGTAAGAATAAATCAAAACTGATTAAATAATGAAATTGAATATTCAAGTTTAAATAGAACAACAACTGTGAACATGAGTAACAGAGTTGGACCTGATGAAGTAATGTATTAAATACAAAGAATAAAATAATGTTATTTTCTCTTTTGAATATTTTAGTCTGTGGAAGTTAATTCTAATACAACACGTTTACAAAGATTGTATGTATATATTATGCATTAAAATAAACTATGTAAATAATTTCTTATTCTAGATATGAACATTTTCGAAGGAGAAGATTACTTTGGATAGTATTTCTCATTACTTTCACTATTGTAATTATAGCTATTTCAACAACTATTATTTTAGTGACCGAAACAAAAAGAGAAAAAATATCAACAGTAACAGAAAAATCTACTATGGAAACTATATTGACCAGTGAAGTGTTGACAATAGAAGGTAATGTTATGATTTTGTTAAAACTTGCTCGTTTCTTTATTCAATCTGCGAGATATTTTAATCTTCAATAATTCATAGTCATATATTATACTTCTATAGAATGATATCGAAATATGATTTTGAATAAAATAAAATATATTTTGTTTTCAAGAAACAATTTTTTAATGTTTTATAGAACAATTAAATTCATCTGTTATCATCAATCATAATACGAAATGGAAACAGAATGCAATTACTGTTGCTGGAAGACCTACATTTGGAGATCAATCAAATGAATTATTTGGACCTTTAGGTATTCGTGTTGATGATGATAATCATTGTATTTATATTGCTGACAGAAACAACCATCGTATTGTTAGATGGGAATTTGGTGCAGACAAAGGTGAAATTGTTCAACGTAAAAATCAACCTGGAAATCCAGAAATTATATTATATTACCCAATAGATGTAATTCTTGATAAAGAGAAGAAATATCTCATCATTTGTAATTATGGTAAGCGACAAGTGATGAAATGGTCTCTTTATAGTGCTAATCAAGTCGACCCGGTGATGATACGTGTTATTCCTTGCTGGGGCTTGGCAATGGATAATAATGGAGATCTTTATGTTTCTGAATGGGATAAACATCAAGTCAGACGTTTTTACGATGGCGATAGGCAAGGTACAGTTGTAGCGGGTGGAAATGGACAAGGAAATCAGTTTAATCAACTCAATCAACCTCATTATATCTTCGTCGATAAAAATCATTCAGTTTATATAGCAGATTATAGGAATAATCGTGTGATGAAATGGAACAAAAATGCAATCCAAGGCACTCTTATTGCTCCAAGACAAGTTTCTGACAAAAATCCTAATTCACTAGTTCAACCCAGAGGTGTTATTGTTGATCATATGGGTAATATTTACGTGTCAAATGCGAGAACTCATCAAATAACACGTTGGTCGCCAGGTAAAATAGAAGCTACTACTGTCGCTGGTGAAAAAGAATCCGGATGGGGGCCCACACAGCTAATAAACCCTCAAAGTCTATCATTTGATCAACAGGGTAATCTTTATGTTGTCGATGAAAATAACCATCGAATACAAAAATTTGCTATTGATCTTGACTGAAACAAGTTCTTTGATAATAAAATAACTTATGATAAATAATTCTTTTTTTGTCATTTTTAAAGTATTTTTTATTTCTAACGAATAAAACTAATTAAAAATATAAATAATCTAATTTATCATTTATCTTGTAGGCATACTTTTTTCAGATTGAGGATGGGTGCGATGTCTTTTCGTCAGGCACACTCGCACCTTCGAAAAGGTTCTAAATACTATACTGAGAAATATCCAATTTTACTATTGTAATCACAATGCTCTTCTTATTTTATGGTAATAAAAAAAGAACACATGATTATTATTACATTTATCTGTATATATAATATTCAGCGTATTATTTTGAAGGATAGAAGAAAAACGTTGCAATGACTCATTCCTATATATCCTCTAACTGATCAATAATATACACGCAAAAAACGTTGTTTTTCTTTTCTATATAGATATATATTTCGCTGTTTTTTTTCTCTTTTGAATATAACAT